GTTCGGCCCGCGATGCATTCCTCCTTTGTGTCGCGAATGTCGTTTACGAAAGAACGAGGTGGTGGCTGTAGTTATCGCGAAAGGCAATCCTGTCGCACAACGTCAACGTCAAGCCGACCTATCCAAGACAATCTCAAATCAATCGCGTTTGCTTTCTGTGGAGGAATGTAAATACTGGGACGATCTCGCGAAGCAGTGGAAGAAAGGCACGAGGAGGTGTGGTCTTGAGCATAAGTAGTTCTCTTTTGTTAATATGTAGTTTTTGCATGTATTAGCTACAAATATATTTATATTATATTATAATGAATTAAAATATTAGATAAAACTGTAAATAGCTTATAATGTCATATAATATGTTATTTGACTTATAGAAAGTGACAAGTAAAATAGTATCTTATCAGTTTGGGGAAAGCAGTATAAGCTCTTATACATCTTCATAATATGTATTTATCTTACACTTATATTATAATAACATATAATTCTTATTACTTTCCATAATATTAATCTGACTTATTTAACCTTATTGTATCTTAGATAACATTTTCAGCCGAGGGAAAGCGGTATATGACGTTTTACATATTATTGATATTTTACATATTATATACTCATATAAGATTAAAAATGACTGGCTCTTTTTTCCTGACGCAGATAAGGCCCAGCAACTTCTAGTGGTTTGATCTCCTCTAAGTTCTAGTACAGTTGGATATAACGCCGAGGAACGCAGAATCCAGGTCATTCTTTTCGCAGATACATTCCTGAGTACCGTTTGTGCTTCAGTCACCGCTTTGCTTATTATATTCCCGCTTTAGGCAAACGTTTCCGGATAGCCATTATACCATAATTAGACAGTCTCCACGGCTCCCTATGGTACGGAAGTTGCCTTCAGATAGTCATCATATGCACACCACATGGCCTGCTCCAACTTTTTATTCCTCTAAAGCATATGCAGCTGTATCACAACCCGACGCACTTCAAACAGCAATGTGTACTACTGGCGCAACTTCCTGTGACTGTCAACAAAAGCTTTGCTAATAGTTTCTCGAGTTCGTGCGATACTACCAGCTGAAGATTAGGAGGCATTGTACTTGATTAGTCCATAAATACAATGTCTTCTCTTCAGATAGATAGTAATTACTAATAATGCAGGTTATCTTCTGCAGACATTCTCGAGAGGATAAGCACTCCTTTTGGCAGGACTGACCGTTCATCTCGCCCTCGCTTCTATAGCTCGACATGGTTGCATTAATGTTTTTTTTATTCTGTAGTTCTAATATGAGGTTACTGTGTCTTTCTATTGTACAGACTCTAGCCGGAAGAGTAAAGAAATTTGAATTCAGTGTTGCACCAAGATTGACATGTAGCTCTCTCATCCTGATTCCTTACATAAACTCGTTATCTGATTAGCAAACAAGGCCCAGTAACTTCTACTTAGTGTGTTAGAGCCAAATTATGAGAAACGGATGATCTGGTGGTCCCTTAGTTGAGCCTGGTACTGAATGGTTCATGCTATGCTCCTGCTTCTATAATCGCTTCAGTGTGAGTAGTACTTCCGCATTAGATGAGCCTTTCCAGCGACCAGGATACCATAACAAGACCTTCTTCCATTAATGTCCCACGGTTCGGAAGTTTTTTCGGACCGTCAATGTACACATACCCTGGGGCTAGTGATAGCTTCGTACTTCTTAGACGATTATACGGCCGTATTCTAACTAGTTTCTCTTTGAATGGAAGCAGCTACTAGTATAACTTACTGTAGAACTGACTGGCCTGCCTCGATACTCTCACCAGATATACCATATGCATGTTGGGAGCCATCTTCCTGCTTGAATGGTGCCTTAGTGCAACATTTATTCGGCAGCTTCACAATGACTAACTACAACAGGTGGCTTGCCATGCAGCAGATCTCAAGAGGACGAGCGCTTCTTTGGCCGGACAGACCATTCACCGTGCCTTCCATTGCCCGGCATGATACCCCTACATGTTGCTACACCATGCGTACGTACTGTTTTCTAAGTAGGGGGCCATTCTCACATCTGTATGGAATTGTTCTTACTACAGGCACTGTACATACGTCGAATTTGTAACTAATGTTGTTATTCTTTGTCCTATTCTGACATTCACAGATCCTGTCTACCCTCTGTACGGACATGGACAGCTCAATGGAGCAAAGCCATTTCTCACTTCCTAAATATGTGGGAAACTTCAGGACAGATGACCTGGCTCTGTCAGCGCCTTCGAGACTTCTCAAGTTTATTTCAGGGTACAAGCAACCTCTCTTCGGGTGAGAGAATTACGAATTGCCGTAATAGAATAAATCATACAAAGCAAAAGGGTGCGCTTTAAAAGACAGTATTGTCATAAAGCTGACTCCAGTGTTTGTAAAGCCCCAAGATCTCCGCACAGTACTGGTCCTCTCTACCGTCCTCAGCCATCGTGCCTTTTGACAGCAATTCCATCCCCATGACCTCCTCCCCCAACAATCAACATGAACTTGGTCCCGGCTCCATGTTGGTCGACGATCTGGGTATTCCATCTTCACCTTCAACCTCAGATAGTCTACCGAGCCCGCCTACAACACCTGATGAGGATGTTCTTCCTCAATTAGCTAAAGCTGGCTTTCGTCCTCACCAGAAGGCTCAATTGAGAGGCAGATTCAAGCTAAGCACCTTGTGTATTGATGACGATAGACCCTTCAAGGTTGTTGTTATTGGTGCTGGTCATAGCGGGGTCATGGCTGGGATCAGGTCTGTATACTACTATGTCTTTACTCCAATTGTCTTTCTTACAGTGTTCTATTAATTGTCAGGTTTACCCAACGTATGACGAACATTGACTTGACGATCTACGACAAGAATTCCGGCGTCGGCGGGACATGGTTTACAAACCGCTATCCTGTAAGCATATTATGTGTTTTACTGCACAGAGTTTGACTGACAAGTATACGAGGGCGTTGCATGTGACACTCCTTCTCACTGTGTACGCAATTAGTCTGTTCCTTCACAATTACCGTACTGAGCGTCCATCGTTTAACAGTATCAGCCGACATTTGGAGATAAGGTGTGCAATAGCAAGACACCGTTTTTACAATTATTTGCTGACGCACCCGAGGTAGTCCGATTGGACAGCATTCTATTCACCTGGCCCGGAAATTCGCGCGGAGATTGAGAAGACTGTGGAGAAATATAAACTCATGAAGTACATCAAGCTTCGGCATGAGCTTATCCATGCGAAATACGACGAAGAGCAAGGGAAATGGCACCTGAAATTGCGTCGGGCAATGCTGTCCTCCGAGGACGAGGAAGAACAATGTGAGATCGTCGAAGATACCGCGGACTTCGTTTTAGCAGCCGTGGGATCACTGAGTCGCTGGTCTTGGCCTGACATTGAGGGTATCAAGAATTTCAAAGGGAAACTCATTCATTCTGCAGCATGGGAAACTGACGAGAGTGGATGGTGGCATAGTAGTGTCGCGGATTGGAAGGACAAGAAAGTTGGGGTCATTGGATCAGTAGGCCATCTCATCTTGCCTTTGCTATTGGGTTCAATATTCATTCTGTTTAGGGATCGACGGCGACACAAATTGTCCCCAGACTTCGGCCTTTTGTAAAACATCTCTATAATTATGTTCGCGGAAAAACCTGGCTGGGTCCCTCATTTGCTTCCGATCGGATAGCTGAGCTTCTGGGACATCAGTCTACTTCTGATAATCGTACGTACCAATGCGACATCTGCTTGCGTTTCTGACTCTTGGTGTAGACATTTTCACCCCTGAAGACAAGGAAAAGCTCAGAGACATGGAATTCTACAATCAGTTTAGGCGTGAAGTTGAACAATTCATGAATGTGAGTAGAATCGATCACGATAATTATTAAAGCTGCTCTGCTAACTCGAAGTGATAGTCAATGCACTTCGTGACGATCAAAGATAGTGCAATGCAAAAGGAAGCACAGAAAGCGTTCAAGCAGCACATGACATCGCGACTGCAGAAGAAACCCTGGATTGCTGACCACCGTAAGCTGTGTCTCTTTGATAAAGCAAGTGCATATAATGTATCATTATCTAGTCATACCAGACTTCTCAGTTTCATGTAGGCGTATAACGCCTGACACAGGTTACCTGGAAGCTCTTCAAGAAGATAATGTTAATTCTCATCATTGTCTTTATGAATAAGTAACACTGACTGCATATATGCAGACGGATTTCATCCCAACACTCATAAAACGCATAACAGAAACTGGAATTGAACTGGTCGATGGAACACATCACGAACTCGACGTCATCGTTTGCGCTACTGGTACTTAAATCATTTTATTTGCATTATTTTCCCATTTCTTAGTCGACTGATGTAGGTTTCGACGTATCATACCAATACCCATTCACGGTGGTCGGACGCAATGGCAAAACACTTAACGAGCGATTCTCGCCACATCCGGAGACGTATATCTCCATGTCGGTAGACGGCTTTCCAAATTGGTTCATGTCAATGGGCCCGAACTCTATCATTGGAACCGGAAGCATGATCCTTATCATTGAGCATCAGATAAACTACATTGTAGAAGTGGCGCAGAAGATGCAACGTGAGTACTTGAAGAGCATTGAACCAAAGCTTGAGGCTGTCAAGGATTTTGATGAGTACTTGGAGGTATGTTGCCTTCCTATCTGTAAGTCCTTTACATGATATTGATTTCAACTATAACCACTTGCAGGCGTACATCGAGACAGTAAGTTGAGGAACTCCTGGTCTGGAGATTAGTAACCATTCAGCTTTACTATGCAGACGTCATTCAGCGATGGCTGTAGGTCGTGGTACAAACAGGGAAAAGTAGAAAATCGTAACGTTGGTGTATGGCCAGGTAATCCATTATACTCAAAGTCTTGCACGATGAGTCTTAGATCTAATGAACTAATGAATCCACAGGTTCCTGTCTCCATGCTATGAAGACATTCAGGTATCCTCGATGGGAGGACTATAATTACGAAATCCTTGACTCCATTCCCGGATCAGGGAAACCAAACCGGCTCTATTGGCTCGGCGATGGGTCGACGCATAATGAGAAATACATGACTGGTGACCGTTAGTATTATACCTCTTTTTATAATTTACCTTGTTGTTCGGGCTGAGCTGATGCTCTGTGCGTTCAAGGGGCATGGTACTTAAACCCTGAGGAAGTTGACTTGCCACCTAGTGAGCTTAAGACAATGTGTTGTCAGCTGATGGCGTTGCTGATCTTTCTTACTTGTAGTTCCAATATGAAGTTACCGTGCCTTTTAATAAGACATTTGAGTGCATATGGAGCATTGAGTATGAACTTATCACATGCTGAAGCCTCTGCATCTCTCCCGGACAGCATTAACTGCGTCAATGTATTGTAGTGTAAAATCATTTTGATACTGTTTGAATACTCTCCGGAAAGTTGAGATCATCCAGGCATAGCGTGCGTTTGATAGGAGTCATGAGTCTCTGACGCAAAATTGTCGGATAGCACTACCCAATAAAGTGAATAGGCAGAATATACGGATATATGATCCCCGAAAATGTGAATTGCGAAGAGATCTATCACTTGATGCGTGAGATTTCCTAATTGAAGGGCCACATAGGAATGAATTGAAAGTAAGTCTTGTTGATGTTGCTTCAATTCAAATATCACAAAGAAACAGATGCTTCATGTCATCGGAGAGTCGGCCCGCCAGCGGTTGTAGATGGTTCTGTTGAAGGTGGGTACAGTACCATGTCCGGGTAGGACTAAGTAGTTCTAGGTCAATACAGTCTACGTAAATAATGGTGACAAAACCTGAGGAAACGAGCATGAAAGCATTAAAGAATGAGATGAGGGACAAAATTAGAAATATTTGCTCACCACGAACCTCCATGAGTATGCACCCCTGCTGGTGCATGGAAGAATAAAATACCTTGCACATAAGATTCAGACACGCTTAACGGGCCTGGGCCTTCACACGTGTACGCCGACATACTTAAGTACTGTAGATTATCAGTAGATATATGGGCAGAAGGCAGCAATTAGTGCTTGGGACTGCGGGAAATTACGATATTAATGGCCTGTCGTGCATGAATCCAGCACAGCAACTTTCAACCTGTCTCACGAGGAAAACATTGATGTTTATTCGAAATTGAATTTATTCACACGATCACGAGTAAGTATTATTTACTATTATTTATCTCCAAGGGTTCATGCGACGCTTGCTTAGAAGTTCAACTGCCTCCCTAGCGTAAACCGTGTTGCTTCGAAAACCCTGCGAAGTCATTGTATCGGATACTGTACGCTACCTCAAGATCCGAAGTAGACTTCTCTCGCCACGATACTCGTTACCTAGGAAGCCCGTTAACTCCTATTTGCGACGCCATGTAATTGCATGCATTCTACAATCGGTTGAAACATTAGTGCGGCGGCACATATTGACGTGGAATTTCCGAAGTGAATTGCTACTTTTGTATGGCTCGCACTCTTTCACTTCTTGTATGTCGGTAGGCCCGATTGATATGGCAGGGTTTTCTCCTTGCCATCGACAGCCGCTCCAAGTGATTCCGGTACCTCCATGAGCTGGCGTATGACGGCATTCATGGCGCTCATAATCCGGATGACCAGGAAAGAGACCCTCACCGCCACGTCGACCTCAATTGTTGCTCCTATTCGTGGCCCTCATGATCAGTCAGCTCTTTAGTTCCGCCTCTGCTTCGCTGTCGGTGCCAAGACCCCTCATGTGTTTCCTGGTTCTCGATCTTCGTCGTTTTGACTCTACTTCAACGTGCGTCGAAATCCATAATCCTAATGGCTGTTCCTGCACGCTGTCAGGCTTCCTTTCTTTGGCAGAACTTTGTCAGAAGCAATTCTTCGTTAACCGATAGGGAAAAGTTGCTACTGCGGAACCGCCTTCGGTATGGCTTCTCTGGGTCAGAATGAACCCGGTTTCGCTCGTGATGGCGGCCATTCTGAGCTCGGCTCCTCCTGAAACTAAGCATTAAGCGGGAGCGCAGCGCAGCGCACCGCTAAGCTTTCTTTTCCAAGCAACTCCCGCAGTGAAACACCCGGAAATGGAGATGTGCGCATGTCTTTTTCGCTCTGAGTTCTGTTGAAATCGTGAATGGAATCAGATTGACACGTCTTACTTTTGGTATGGAAGAAGCCTAACAATTTGCAATCGGAGGTTGCTTGACCTATTTCTGTCAGTGTCAGATCGTCGAATTGAAATTTTAAGGTTGCTTTTCAGGTGCACTGCGCAACCATAGCACTCCCCGGATTTCCGACCGCTGCTCCCGAAGCGCCGCATTCATAGGAGGGACACTCAGAAATTCATTGGTCAATCCGCTACATCAGTCCACCGTAACTTATCGCCTCCGCGATCTGGTAGCGAGCTCCTATTACCAAAGCGCTACTAAGCAGTATGAACATTTATGGAAAAGAGTGCCAGCATTGTTGCCAACGGTATAAAATGAAGTCAAGACAGTGGTTATGCTACAGGCTCCTAGGTAGCTCTCCTCCCGCAATTCCTCTTGCTCTCTTTTCTTGAAATGTTTCTTTCTCTTGTAAAGTTCGTTCTTTTCTCGACGTGCATCGGCGCTGCTCGTGCTGCGACGTACTCGTTGTCGGATAATATTGTCGGCACAAAATTCCTCTCGGAGTTCACGCACCAGGCAATATCTGATCCAACTCATGGTCGCGTGTCGGTCTCTTCTTTGTCCATGCCGATGTATGATGCATGAACTAACACGGTTTTGGCCTTGCAGGAACTATGTCGACCAGTCTACTGCGTTGGCTGAAAACCTCACCTTTGCCACCTCGAACACATTTATCATACGTGGTGATCACAAGAAGACCCTTAGCGCCAGTGGGCCTGGTCGCGACTCAGTCCGCATTCAGTCAAATAAGCAATACTCTACACACGTTGCGGTGTAAGTATAATCCTGTTGCTACGTTTGGCGTTCGGTTTCATCTAATAGCTAAGACACAACCCGCTAACTGCACGTTTATATCGATATTTTTGGAACAGATTTGATATCGTCCATATGCCACGTGGATGCGGGTATGTGGATATTCCGTTCCGGTGGCATTTGACTTATGACATTTGCGAAATAGGACATGGCCCGCAGTTTGGGAAGTTGGAAATAACTGGCCATATGGTGTACGTCGTTAAATTTCAAACACATGAGTTACTATATATCATAGACCCAATTTAGGGTGAGGTGGACATCGTCGAAGGAGTGAATGATGTCAGTCCGAACCAAGCTACGTTGCATACTGGGCCTGGTATGTCAAGCACCTCGTGCTTGTGTTGTATTTACTGATTCCTTGTTATCGAGGATGCACAATGTCTGGTCAAGTGCAAACTGGGTAAGCTGACAACTTGACGCGCCTGCCATCGTGCTAATTTAGCTGGAACCAGGGCGACAGCTGGCACTGACTGTAACTCGTTCGACAACTCTAATGCGGGTTGCGGCGTGAAAGTAAATAAGGCCAACAGCTATGGCCCGCCATTTGACAGTAATGGCGGTGGCTGGTACGCAATGGAAAGAACTAGGTATGGATCAGACGCCATTTCGATTGGAGTTAAATTAATGAGCTCCTATCATTCGCATTAGTTCTCACATCAATGTGTACTTCTGGCCTCGCAACGATGGCTCAGTCCCGAGCGACGTGAGGAACGGTGCTTCAACCATTAACACAGGAAACTGGGTAAGCATCTCGGTCCATCCCGAAAGGATCGTACCTAATGCATAGCAATACATACTAAATTCATCATTAACATAATTAGGGAACTCCTGTCGCGAACTTCCCGAGCAGCAACGGCTGCAACATAAACTCCGCGTTTGCTCCGAACAACATTATTATTAACTTAACTTTCTGTAAGTTGTGCCAATCTAATTTATCACCGCCTGCTTCATCACTGATCCAATTCAGGTGGAGACTGGGCTGGCGCCTCGTCCGTGTATGCGGCTTCCGGTTGCCCCTCGACTTGTGTCGGTGAGTTCAACTCTCATAGTCGTGTGATTAAGGTGCTGACACGCGAGCAGATTACGTCAACAACAATCCTTCTGCATTCGTTAATGCTTACTTCCAATTCAATGCTTTGAGAGTATACACGTAGGATGGTATTGTTATCGCCCGATTACAACGAAACAGGGCCACTACACGAATTATTCACTCCTTCAATTTTCACTCTTTCCTGAACTAGCCGTTACTGTGGATTTCTAAATTATGTCGATCATTTCTATTCCGAGAAACTGTATTTGTATCTTGTGTATTCTGTGTATTTATATGGTCGCCGAAATATCAAGTTGCGAAACAATTTAATTAACATTGCACTATCTTAATAGAAACACCTGGTCTGGTCTATCCGTGTTACAAAAAGGGTATCAGTCTACCATGTACAACACCTTTACAGAACCATCTACTGCCCCAAGCGCAATGCATCCTCGATGTTCGACGTAATCCATCAAATTCCACGTCGCACCTCCACTCTCGATACTCGATAACAAGTTTCTAGAACGGACTTCTTCTGGTTTCATCAGATCTGCAATCGGGCCTTGCCATATCATCGATCGTAATACTTGCGCTCCGCCTCGTCCGATACTCGAGCCCAACCACATTGATGTTCCGGCAGATCCGAGAGCGAGTGTGGGACAATGCATGAAGTCGCGCTTAGCTGCTAGGGTAGAGAGAAGAACTGGAGGGAAGCAATATGGAATTGCCGAGTCTTTAGAAGAGCCTGGTAAAAAGTAGGCGGGATCGGGAGAGACGATGCAATATTTGATCGAATGGATGTCTGACTCCCATGGATCTCCTTGTTCAGCTCGTACTAGTATCACTATTGGTGGATATTGATACTGAGGGATGTATACTGATAGTGGTGCCATTGCGATGCCGTCGATCCATCCAAATGAACATGTTTGTAAGGGAGTCAATGGTTGTGCAGTATCACCGGCGGCATGCCAGGTGACCTTCGGAAAGAGCTCGACGGAACACGAGCGAGCTACAAAAATACTTTCGTGTGCAAAAAGGACTTGAAGGCATTTATTGTGCTTTAAAAGAATAGTGTTAGGCTGTAAATGCAAGAAATATGATCTACGTTTTGCTTACTTGGATAACTTCGTCTAGATCCTCTGTACTTTTGAGTATTGCATGCTCATCCGTTCGCCAGTTCAGGATATGAATTTTAGAATAGTCGTCGCTAGTGACAAGGATATCGCCATCCAGTGAGACCGGGCTAAAATCCGTGTCTATACATTTCAAAGTCTCAAATGACACATCATGCCTGTCATTCATTGGTCGGATTTTCAGAATCCTGATGTATTGGTTCCTAGTGCAGGATAAGCTTGGAGCAGCAAGGGTGGACTTGCTTTAATCACTTACTCCACGCAATATTCGTCTATCGACACAGCAAGAGAAGCATCGCTTATGATGTTATTATCAACGACAATATGTCCAATACTCGCGCCCTCGCAATACCAACGTCCGACTTGCTTTAGAGCGTCATACTCGACGCGATTCAAGTCCCAACACGTTATCATGGGCCATATGCCTTCAGATTGAGTTATAATCCATTCATGATCTCTCCGAAGTACGAAGTGCACGCTTTGTAGACAGCTGGATGGACCGCCCATGAAGGAGATTGCTCGACGTGGTCGACAATTCGGAGAGGCCCATGCTTCTGTGAGTGACACCGCGCGTCGTGTACGCCATTCCAGCTCGCTAACACCAAGATCATCCAAGTGCTTGTAAGGGAATGGTAGTCCCCGGTCAAGTACAAAGTCGTTGCATGCATTCAGCCAGACAGATCGGACCCGAGTGAGGTCGTTCAGCCGTCTGCATGTCTGGACGGATTAGGTATGCAGTGACACCAATATTTTATTTGGTGACTCTTACTTGACGAGTTGATAATATATCCTTCACTTGCGAGTTTTCTAACACAGCCAAAAGAATGTCGTCGGTTAGGTCTAGAAACTGTGGTGGCATTAGGAGGCAAGGAGTGCAGAGACGACAATTCTTGGCCCCTTGGCTGGTTGCAGGTAAATACTCATCACGTGCCATAGTCTCACTCGAGTCATTCAGATTTAGCTTCCTTGTCCTCCAGCCTTCAAACTCATTATATCAAACGTTTTCATGTACAAGAAGGTATGTATAATTTCCGCCCCTACATGTCTGATTTTCTTTGTTGAATCTCCCAGAAGACAAGCCGTTCACCATGCGCTCCTCAATCCACGGATCTGTGCTCCATATTCCACTGCTCGACGTCCTTCAATCCAAGCCATCGATTCTATGAGAAGACACAGAGTATTGATAATTTTTCCAGGAAATAATAATCAAATTATATAAATAATTCACCTGCGTAAGTCTGCGGAACAACCATCCGATGTAGCGGCTCGCTATTCGGATCAGGCTCACCCCACGTAAACTTGAAGTCATTCGTATGCTGTTCGGTACCGGTCTTCACATCGATGACGTCCGCTTTTACGAATACGTGCTACCATATATCTAGTGGGCAAGGTGATGGATGGTGAAATATTTCGTATAGGACATACCACTACTGCGGGAAATTCCTCAGTGCTTGTATGCGTTACCTGAGCGGTGAGACGGAGGATTGATCCTATTGATACGGGGCGTTCGAACCAAATTCCGTCGAGTGAAAGAAAACGAAGGTGACGCTTTCGTGCAAATAGGGAGGCAGTCGTGAACCCAAGCTAGGAACAAGGAATTACAAAAATATCGATATGTATTATGAAAAGTTCGAGACAACGCATACCTCGTATGCCAGTCGCATCAGGTAACCTTGCAGTTTGATGAATGCATCGTCACAGATGCAAAATGTCAATAAGTTGGACGAGGAGTCTCACCTCCAAATACTTTCTGATGAACACTGCCGTATAGTCTTTAGTAACGAGGATTCACATTATGAAATTGTTATACTAACTTGCGTTCTTGCGGAAACATCAGGAGGGTTTTCTCTAACTTCGTTTCCTCCATTGGTACCTTCTCAACTATCCTAGAATTTGAGTTGTCGCCTTGTTGCAAACTGCTGAGATAGAGGTTATGTAACGCTTGTGCCTCTTCGAACGATGGTGGAACACGTGAAAGTGAGCGCTGCGAGAGGAATGTCTTTCGGCTCTTATGGGCTAACAATTGTCAATATACGAGAAAAGAGCATGAACATATTTTTACCTTCTCCGATAGCCAATAAAGCTTTTTCTTCTGGAGTAGAGGCAACGACTGGATTTACTGGACGAGCCTTGTGCGTTACAGCATCTCGGCAGACCATAGAAAACCGACCTGGTAATAGACTTTAAAACCACGTCGAGAGAACGAAATTTAAAGAAGGCTCTAACCAAGCATAACGAGGCTTTCTTTCCCACCTTCTTCTATCGCATCCATCTTTACCGCAATTTCCATGGAACTGCGACCTGTGTATATGACGTGTCCGCTCAGGCGGAGATCACGTACTGGATAGAGATTGGCAAGCATATCCAATCTTAAAGCCTAGATGAAATCCTTGCATTTTAATGTACAAGGGACTTGTTACCTATCAACAGCTGCGGTCACGATGTAGAAGCCACGCTCCTTGACCTTTCCCACAGTTTGAGCTGTGGGTCCAAGCATGTGCTTGTATGCGATAGATCCAGCGAGTGAATCAAGATGCTCCATAAGCTTGCCGGTGCGAATGCCTCCCCAAGCATTCACGTATTGTTCAAGGAGTTGAGGAGATGAAGCGAATGGGAGATCAATTTGTGAATACGAGTCGTGCATATGTCGAGCTGGCAGTTCTGTAGGGCTCTCTGGTGGATGTGCTTCATGTGTGGGTTCCGAGGAGTCCCAAGTCGAATTGAGCAGCATTTCGGACCAAGGACGCTTGGATCGCACAGGCATTATCCTGATAGAACAATCAAGCCCTTTCTCGAGGATTCTAAATCATTTATACAATATTATTTACGTGCGATATGCCGGGTTTGAACGAGAACCTAATCACCAGTCGCATCAGACGGAGGTAACTTGACAAACGTGCAATTTTAACGATGACTCACGAACTTGATTGAGAAGGCTATCTATGGTTGTCACATCGTGCGTTTCATTTTGAGCTTCCATTACATTCAATTTGGGCGCCTCTAGCCTGGGCTCGGAAGAGGCATTCAGCACATTTTGCAAGCGCTGGCTGGTACATATAAATTTCCTAGACGGCTTAACTTGAAGAAGGTTCAGTCTCACGCCTGAATTAGAGAGCGAGGAGACACGCACCGGGATAAAATAAATTCTTGAATGATCTACAGCGCAACATGGTGGATAAAAGTAGAGAGCGGGAGAAGCGGACGTTAGATTGAAGAAGGGTGCTAAATATGGGCGATCGACGACCGGATCAGTCACGAGACTCGTCGCCGTCTGGCCCACTACCGTGACTGTACTTAACTTAAGTCTTTCGCTCTGCCCACCACCTGCACTGCACTATTCTGACAAGCTTACAGCCAGCAGTGTTTCATTTATGTCACTGTGTGAGAAAGTCTGAAGGGTCGGAACCGCCTTGGAGCTGTGATTCATGAGTGAAAGAAACGTGCCGGGAAGCTTTGTACAGGTGAGTGCCAGACAAAGGACTGCGCAGGTCCTAAACTCATGAATCTACTTGCCTGGTTTCGCAAAAGGACTCGAAATCCTATGTCAATATCTCAACAAGAAAACCTTGGCCATGGAAGCTCAAGACCGCGCCCTCGCGCGAACACGAGCTTTATAGCATGGCGCAGGAACATGCCAGACCCCTCGACCCCTACCTCCCTCGCCTCGTCTCCGGCCGCTCCCGTTCAGACACTACCATTGGATGCTCTCATCCAGTTTCTAACCCCTCCAGCTGTCCCGTCCCCGCAGCATGCACGAGCACTCGTCACAGCGCTGTCGACTCAAACACCTGCTCCGTCCCCTTCAGTCATGCTGCCGATTTTATCGAGTATATGTGCTACAAACGCACCGGCCTCCCTGCAGTATGCGGGGTTTGACGTTCTTGCAGCCTATTGTTCTTGCGGTACGCACCTTGCGACGTCGGACCGGCTCACGTTTTTCGATATATTGCAGTCTACTTTGGACGGCAATTGGAACCAGGAGGTTTGGGAATCGCGTCTAAAGGCGATGAACGCGCTCACGCCTACGCTAGAAGACGTACTAGGGATCGAGAAACTACTATTGGGTCTGCTTTCTGGCTGGCTCAGGCAGGCATTCGAAGACTATTGTTCTAAGGATGCCGACAGACAGGAGCGAGAACGGCCTGTTGAGACATTGAGTGACGCGTTGATCGAATGGTTCTCGCGTCTTGAGGAATCTGGCCGTCTCCCAGAAGAGCAAGGCTTGTCTTTCTTCGAGTTTTATCAATCTCTCGTCGATTATGCGTTGCGTTTGCCTCTTGAGGATGTGCAACATTCTACTCCACCAACACCTACACCTCCGACATCCCAGCGGGATAGCTCCAACACAACTTTTGCGCGACATAGACGCCATCCTTCGTCGATAACCAGTGTACCTTCTCCACTCTCACCACTTAGTCCTAATATTCGTACGCATTCTCCCCCGGTCCGCGGTCCTGTTCAATTTGCTTCGTCGATTTATCTTAATTTTCTCAATTCGCGACTGAAGCGGCTCCCTCTTTCATTTTTACCTTCACTCATGCCTTTGCTTTTGCGTATCCTCTCGGCTGTCATGTCACCTCTCCCGCCATTATCTCCGGGTATAACGAAACGCAATCCAGTTGAACATCGCGTTCTCAAGACAATTACTGCTCTACTCACTGGACCTTATGCAACCACCTGCCTCATCCTCCTTCGCCAACTTCTTCTACCCGTTCCCGGAGGTGATGTTGTTACACAGGTTAGGACGTCTTTGGGCGCACTACGTGCCTTACGACAACAGATCAGAACCGTTCTAGAAGATCGCATGGCTATGCGTATCGTTCAGCGAGGAACATCGTCGTCCGCAACACCCTCTGGCGCACCAGCCTCAGCGGTCGTACTGGACGATTACTTAATTGAACGGGCACAACGCGCATGGACGAAAGAGGGAGCCGCTGTATGGGATGCGCGAAAGGTTTCCTTTTTCCTGGTAAAGGCTATTCAGGAATGGAACGACACTGCAATCCCAACTGACAAGGAGCGCATACTTGAGGAAATCGCCGGATTATTACATGATGTCCTGCAAGAGATGGATGACCGCTTTGATGATCAAGATTTCCTCGCTGGGAAGGACTTCCACGATGCCGACACGGGAGGTGCCGTAGGGCGTACACTTCATGAACTCATGAAATATGTCAAAGGACTTCGGTATGAATTCCATGTTATATTACAGGGGACAATTGATAATACATATACAGTAACGAGGATGGAATGCCAATGATACTGCCTCTGAGCAACGCTTTTGCAGCACCTACACCTTTCTTACGTGCACTGGCCGATTGCTTCGGGCACAAACAATCGTTGTCCTACATCGACCCGCCTGTATCCCTTATCCTCCTTTCCGTCGTAGACCACCTTCTCGATATCGATTCCGAACGCATCCCATTGCTGATGGTTCAACAGCATTTGTTAAAGCCAACGTCGTTTGAATGGCTAGGAAACTGGGAGCAATTGTTGCGCAGTACCCATCTGTTCATGCAGACCCGTCCCAGAACAAGGCGAGCATCGATCAGCGCACTGCACTCTGTATTTTCTCTGGTTCGTGATATGCAGGGTTATCGCCGGCCTCTGATGGATTACGTATTCAACTTTTGGACCCAGATGGTATCGGGGAGGAACGAGGGTGGTGACGGATCGACTATATGGCGACTACTTGGTGAAGAAGCTGTCTTGCGGGCGACGGAAGATGACATCGATGACCTATTCACCCCGACGCAGGAGACAACACCGGATATCTCCAGCGTGACCGTGCACATGATTTTGGCTGCGCTCGCGGCTGCTTCCACTTACTGCGAGTGCGATGGAGAGATCGAAGTTTGCGTGAAGCCGGTCGAGGTTCCGCCTGCGTCTCCCATGGTACCTATGACGCCTTCAAACACTGTTGCATCAAATCTTGCCTCGCCCATCCTTCCAAGGGTGGCCACTGAGACGCAGGCGCAGCCAATGGCCAACATGCAGCAGCAGCTTTTGTCTCTACTCTCATTTAGTAGCCCTCGGAACCAGAGTCAAAATCAAGTTCCGCAGGTCTCAAGTCCCGATGATATACTAACATCATCTAGTACTCGTGCAGATCGTTCACCATTGTCTCGAGAAAGTCCGGAACCTATCACTGTACCTGTCGTTTGTCGTGGTCTTACTGCGGTTTCTGCCCTATGCGAAGTCTTCTTGAAGCTCGCATTCATTGATAGTTTGATGACCACTCGGCAATCCCGCCTGGCAATATATGTCTTCGGTCAATTGCTGCGTCTCCTACGTACCGCTCACTGCCCGCGGGCGCGAATTGCCGTACTGCAAACGCTTACTCGCCTACGCGCTGATCGTGATCACCGAGTTTACTTTGCACGCGCTCCCGAGGAGCAGGACCAGCAGATCCTATCCCTCGCGCGGCTTGTAGGACGGCTCCGTGATTCTTCAGCCGTTTGTGCTCCAGTTGACGAAGCACGCGCAGAAGAGATCTTTCTTGAAAGGGCACGAGCTGCTCAAGTGCTAGACCGCGATGGGAGAAGGGCATCTCGTGGCCGCGGAAGTAGGAGATCAGGTACTGTGAGTCGAAGTAGGTCCAGAGCGCCTGGACATACGAGCCAGTCGGCGAACTCCGCCAATGTCAGACCTCGAGATCAACTGTGGGCTGAACCCGACGTCGTCCCGTTCTCACTAGACAATGCTGATAAAGGGAGTCAAAGGCTGGTTACTTATGATCCTATCGGGCCAAACGATGCGATTGTGCTTCCAGTCTCCGATTATATGGATGAGCTGGTGGAAATTATCAAGACAGACCGTGATTGGGAAGTGCTTTCATATGTCCTCGTTCATCTCCCAGCACAACTTGCGAATAAGCACTTTTGGTGTGGTCCAATTGCTCGGGAGTCCATTTCGAAGTTGCTCGCAGAACTGTGTCAGAGCATAAAGGCTAACACACTCGGGAAATATGTAAATCAAGAGGAGTGGCCAACGTTGTCAAAATCCCGAGATGCGATTGGACTGGCATACCATACACTAACAGTGTTGATAAGCTACAACACAATATTTGACCCTGCAAAACGCAAAACGCTCCTTGACATCCTCCAGATGGGTTTGAGCGGAAAAGGTGACACTGTCATAATTTGTACACACGCACTCAACCTCTGTGTATACGAGATGGAGACGACCGTGGTTAAGGAGCTGCCAAGCATTTTGGAAAAACTCACCCAGATCGTTTCAAACCCCTCAATAGCCGTGCATATTCTTACTTTCCTTGGGAACCTCAACTCATTACCGAACATCTATTCGAACTTCACACATGCCGATTACAAACTTGTCTTCGCCGTAGCACTGCAGTACCTTCAACATCACAATCGTCTGGAGACATCTAGAGAAATGCCGTTTTCGCTCTCACAACACGTCCGTATTATGTCTTATTACGTTCTTTACATGTGGTTCTTGTCTTTGAAACTGGAAGACCGGGCGCAGCACGTGCCATTCATTGTGCGTCAACTATTACTCGCAAACAATGATGAGGACCGCAACGAGATCGACGTCCCGACGGAGGTCGCTTTTGACTTGCTGGCTAGGTACACGTATGCAAACGCAGATTCAAAGCCCGCACAGTCTTTACTGGGTGATATTCTCTCCAAGCCTAGCGAAGGTGCACCGGATAACGGGGCTATACAAGAGAAATCTTGGGTTATGGGCTATTCAATCGTAACCGTACGACTTCTAGCGAAGTCCGGTTGGTTGGAGGTTACTACGCGCAGGCCATCCGGGACGACGAGATTCCTCTGCAAATCAGAGAATGTGCCATTAGTAAACTTAGGCGACCTTGATCCTGATATGGTTACCATTCCAGCAAGTTTGATGATGGACAAGGATCCGAGCTTTCTGAGGTCGATCCTATCCTCTGACGAGGCTACGGAATCGAGCGATGAGCCATCCGAGACGGTAAGTCCGTCAATCGTTCATGTTTCAGATAATAATCTTACCTGTTCCGAACAGTCTGAAGGTGGCGATGAGTTGGCTAACCAAGTCTTCAAATTACCCGACGAAGCTGGGGAGAACGTTGCTCGTCCAGATCCCGTGAAAGGTTACGTCTGGACTGGATCCGCACCATCGCAGAGACGAAAACGGGTTGACCTTGATCCATCTTTCTTCCCGTTGCAATTTTCACCGTACCCGGATACGAAGAGCATACAACGTAGAGGGCGAATCGTCCGTGACACTCGAGCGCTCGCTTCTGCGATCCGGACTCTGGACCGAATACCCGTTATTGATACGCACAAAGTCGGTATTTTGTACGTCGGACCGGGACAGACAGACGAAATTGCCATACTGAGAAATACGAGAGGATCTCCTGCATACGCAAGGTTCCTGGAAGGGTTGGCACGACTAATCAAAGTCCGAGGTCAACTCGATGTATATACCGGTGGTCTTGATCCAGACGAGGATGGCGAGTACGCCTTTGCTTGGTGGGATGATGTGGGACAGGTTTTGTATCACACTGCAACAATGATGCCAAATTGCGAGGATGATGAGCGATGCAACTTCAAGAAGCGACATATTGGCAATGACCTAGTCCGAATCGTGTGGAATGACTCTGGGCTACCCTACCGCTTCGACACCCTTTCCACAGAATTCCAATTTGTCAATATTGTCATTGAGCCTCACTCGCGCGGTGCAATTGCTGCTTATTCTGACAACAAGCACGAGAACGAGTACTTCAAGCTCATCGTACAATGCGCGGAGGGTATGGCCGAGTTCGCACCGATCGGCGATTTCAAGATAGTATCCGCAAAAAGCTTGTCGATTCTCGTCCGTCAACTCAGTCTTGTAGCTGACTGGTACGCCTCAATCTTCAAGGATACTGTTAGAGACACTGAGAGGAATGAGATTGTCACCAATTGGCGTGCACGGTTGGAGACCATAAAAAAATTCGCGAGTACTGTCCCGAGCCCATACGAAAATGTTCCGGTCGATCATGGTGTCATGGGAATGCAGGCCTCTCTTGATTTCACTCCCGGGTATTGATTTACCCTGGGCATTCGTCACTTTTCTTCTTTAACTTTTATTGTCGAGGTTTTCGTCGATTGGGCTGCACTTATCGTGGTTTCTGGGAGTTCGTTCAACTTTTTTATTCGGTCTGCGATCTAGCTTGCCCATGATATCATTGTACAATATCCACCTACTACTGAACCGTAGTTGTTTTCAATTCATTTGATATCATTCGAGCCGTGCTGATTTGAGGTGTACGCACAGACCTCAGTGTATGTCAATGCAAAGCTGCACAGCTCTGTCATTCTCTTAGTTTAATAGTAGTAGTATTTAGGTCGGAGTTAAAGCACCACCTAACATAACGTTTAGTTTCTTTTTCTGAAAAGCGTGATTGTTTACAGAGCCGATAGGGTAATTCCTCGCCTTCGGTATTGTCTAATATAATGATCAAGTTGAACTCGTTTTCAACTGCACCATAGCAGTTGGGCTGCATAAATCGAATCATCAAAGCTGTCATACAAATGATATATTGGATGGTTATATGAAAACAAATACATTATATGGATGCCTGAGCTCTAGCCTCTCTCATAATGTCAGCTTCATGCCTCACTGTCTCAATGCACTTTTGATTATCAGTACCATTGTAATCATTGTATTTCTGCAGTCGCTAAGTAATCTTCACTACAAAGGCTGTTGGTCGATCATTCTTATTCTTGACGTCAGGCCTCTCAATTTCCCATTTCATATAATGTATTGCCAATAAATTACAGTAATCCAGAGTAGATTTAGAACCATGATTTCACAAAGCATATATAAAATAAATAAATTCGCCATTGCGTCCCTATGTGTCCTGGCCAAAAGAAGGGCTTCTGAAGTCCAGTCAAAGCATTGCATCTTGTCAGTACAACTAAGTTCTGAACTGTCTCCTTTATTCTCCTCAAACTGTCAAGACTAGCCAGCCTATCTACTAGCATGCTTTAAACCTTCTATAGAGATAGTTACAGAGAATAGACATTCTTATTGTGGGAATAGTATAACTTTATACTTTGCTTTGCATATTTTTTAAATCCACAGATACAATACCAATTTCAAGATGACTTTAAGATACAGTGCTAGATAAGTAATTGAGCAACTTGAAAGTGGTGTGTGTCAAAATAGTAATTGATAGGTGTCAGTTTCAGAGTGTACATTCATGACACAAATTACTTACACAAACTGCTTTGGGCACAATGAATTGCAGAGTCTAGAACCCGTCAAAGTTACATTGAGAGGTGAGGTGCTCTAGAAGCACTTTTACTACTGATTTACTTGTGATTTGTCAGTTTTCTAGCAATTAGTACCATTTTATAATAACTCACTCCTGTGATGCCTATCCTTTACACTTTCAGATAGGCTTATAATCCTAGCTTGTAATATTTTAATCGGGTTTGCGATCGGTCGCTCGTCAACATAAATGCGTTCAATAGTATCAGTACCAATCAACCGTGTCGCCATTTATCTGATGCAAATCACGTGTGTAACTGTGCAACAGAAACTGATCACCAACGTCGTTCTTTCGTGAAACCCGAGCGCATCTCTATTGCGATTGTCAACATGCCCGAGAATCAGGCAGCTGAGGCAAATCACATAGATGCTGTGAAAGTACAAGGACGGTTTGGCGTTTATCATTGCTACAAATTCGGAAAAATGACACTCCGCTTTAGACGTGATTGAAAATTGGAGAATATATATAGCTGTCATACTCTCGCATGAATAGCTTCTCGAGCATCACCATCGCCTTCCCTATGGCTATTCTTCCCGGCTTATTTTCCTCGTTAATTCACGTCAATGTTGTCCGCTATCTAACTAGTGAGTTTCCTCTTCCAAATATTTTCAATTTCTTATTCTATGTACGACAAAATTAGTTTCAGGAATATCTGTCCTTGTATATGACACATTGCTCATGCTCGCAGACGATGTTCGATATGTGTGGACTCCTCTTATCCGGTACATTTCTGCATTGATGTCAAGACACGGGGAACATACACAATATCGAATGGCTTCAATTTTGCAAAAGCTTCTTGTTATATTCATTCGTTATGTCATGCTGATTATAGCTTCTCTCTTTTTGTTTGGTAAGCCCCTTCACTTCAATTCCGCACAAAGTTCTATGGCGCTGACAACCAATCTGGATCTGTGTCGGAAAGCCATAACTCCATCAGTGGACGCCACTACAGACTGGGTACGATATCTCCCTCCTGTCTTTTGTCTAATACTAACAATGCACTCCAGTGAGTCGAATGAACTTGTGTAATGCGGCCTAGCTCAACTGAGCGGTTACCCAGGTGTCGGAGCGTTTTTTCAGCAACAATGAGTTGTGACATTTTTATTGAATTGATCGGCTCAGGTATGAGACAGGAGTACGTGCTTGACTTATGATTGAAGAATAGTTGTTCTTTGCAGGCGTTGTCCTCTGTCGCCTTTTCTTACTCTGGGAACTCGATCGACGCACAATCCGAATCATAACCGGAGGACTCATAATCGTTACCCTTGTTTCTCTCTTTTCTACATTTGCAGCTATTGCAGAAGCGAGAGGTTAGGCCCCAATATAAGATCTAGTGTAGAAAGCTGATTCAGTACACTAGATCACGTTTTATTTGTGAAGATTTCCGGACTTCGCATTTGCCACGAGGCAGAGATTCAGAGGATTGCCTTAATTGCCTTAATAATTGCGGTGAGCCTTGACTGTTAAAAACAAAACGTAATAGTCACTAATTGCTGGTCACTTCACAGTTTATCTTGGACATTACTGCACTTTTCCTTCTTGTCTTCAACGCACTTTCACGTCCTCGACTAGAGAGCCAGCGACTATTCCAAATTTTGTACGAGGATGGGCTTTTTTTCTTTTTGGTAAGTTTCTTGCACTATTAGAGTGACGAGACTTAACAGTACAATTTTCAAGACTGTACTCTGTGAGTGACACTCGATCTCGACTAAAATATCTTTCGTGACAGCTTTGTTCACATTGCTAGTAATGAGACTTTTGAACATTGTAGTCATGTCTTTTGCCCAAGTAAGTTAATCAAGTGTATTTACATCAAAAGTGTGCTGATAGTAATCCTCCAGGCGGACCTTTTCTTCATCGCAATAATGTGAGTCTATCCAATTTCAACTTATGGATAATCTGGTGTCATGTCTCTTTAGTTTTTCCGGTACAATGGTGACAACCGTAACCTGCCGGTCCCTTTTGAATCTTATACGTCGAAATGGAAATGAGTACGTTTCTTACAATGAGTATGAGGACAACAAGCTGAAGACAGATATTCGATGGAGACGAAATACCAAAGTGGTTCTAGTGGATCAAAGGGGTGCTTGTAATGGTGATTTGCTTGAAAGCGCTTGGTTTGGGCCATGGTAGTGCATAATGAGCATATTCTTTATTAACTTGAACATTCTCCTGCAATACCAATCTCTGTCTCTCGTACCAACACACTACATAAAATGGCCTTCAACCTGTACAATACTCCTACATAGCATGTCGATTCAGATATGTTCGGATGAAGGAGCTCAGGGCTACCTTATACAAGACAAGTTTCAGCAGATCCTTGATGTTAAATATTTCCACTTGTTTTAACGGGAAACATGAAAAGCCGAAGGAATAATCGTGAAGCAGCTGTTGTCACTATCGTGCCTGAGAAGCTACACCCGTTGTGGGATCAGACATACCTCTAAGACTGATGTATAGAAAGAAAAAATACACACATCATGCCCAAGTAGAACAAGGGAGGCTATAAATGACCCAAGACCTGTTATTTGAAAAGGAAACAATACAGAAATTCAATTGCGTACATCTGGAGCCGTAGCTATAAGGATTACATTAAAAATTCGTGTGCCTTATAGTACAATTGACTGGTTGAGTGTATAGGCAAAAGTGTAATTAGTAATAAGGCTTACTGAAATTAATCTGCATTTTTTTTGATAAGATCAGTTACAGTGTTTCATGACTAGAAACAGAAACGTACGAGGAAGAATATGATACCGTCGATATATAAAACTTTCATGAGGTGTGCGTCCGCCTGGCGTGGGCGGGATAAAGCATTCAATAGCAAAAGAATAAAAGCAACTGTATCAAATAGAGCCTACTCAAACAGTTAGTCCAACTTGTTAACAATAGACACACAAAATCAACTTACACAAGGGATCCAGGAACCAAGAAATAAAATTGGCATCTCTGTTATAACACATGCCATGAAATTCCTCGTGCCTTGAAATACAATAGTGTCTAAGAGCAATTAGTCTGGGGCCAAAATTCACGAAAGTCGTAACACTCACCTGCAATCTTCACAGTATCTGCAAATGTGAATGTGGCAACGAGAGTACAGTTGATGATGAAGGAGCTCAGAAGCAGACACGTTCCAAGCTTATTGAAATTCCACAGTAAATACAATCTGTAGAGCACAACGCCTGGAAATATGTGTGTTATTTAAAATAATGAGCAGGCAATAAATTAAGACATGCCGGTTCCAACCATTTCAACCAAGACATCCATTCTAGCAACAATCAAGAGCAATGTTCTGCACCTATAAACCGAATTGCTTCATACATTGAGTGACATTAATGGGCCAAATTAATGAAGTTGCAAACTAGTTACAATGAGTGTAAGCACCTGTCCCGAAGCATACATACTGCTTATACTGACTTACCCATAAATTAGTCATTGTTCCGGTCGGTATCAGACCTTTACTGGAATCAGTAGAATAATAGCTGTTTGTTAACAATACTTACAAATCAAGAGCATGATTGCAATGGTAATCATAAAGTATCTGTTCAGAAGATAGAGAACCCTTGATACATTTGACTTCCATGTGGCACCTTTCTGACGATTGTAAACCAGGGGGTGCCAAACGAAGCGTAGCTCTTCCGGAAAAGTTAGTAGTGTATCATAAACAAGCACGCTAGTACCAGCCACTGTCAAATTCAAGGACGGGTAGCAGTAAGTAATGTTGCATAACTTGTGAATCCGCAGGTTACTCACACGTGATGTACCGGAACGCATACAAGTGCATAGCTTCTGCCGCTACAGCCTGAAGAAGACCCATATCGATGACTATCTCTGTACAAACAGGGGGCTTCGAGAAAGGTCTTCATGGCCCTTATAAAAAGCTCACAGATCAATCTTGATCAGCCTCGGAGGCATCTCACCTTCTCATCAAATTACGAGATCTTTTAAAGGCACTACTATCTAATCATAAGTAGGCCTTTTTATTCAAGCCGTTCTATAATAAGTACGAGACACAGCCTCTACATTGTGCAAGTTAGCTACATCAAGTATTAGAAATGGCAGCAAAATGCCTGCTAATTTACATAGCACAAAGGGATGGAAATCTCAGGCCTTGAGACTCGTTCTTCCACACCCGAACACACTCCAATTCCACAAAGGTGTAAGTCCGATAAGTCATACGCGGCTATCACCAGTGTAACACTCACATCATAAGACTGCGATAATCTTTAGATTCTCGTAAGGTCCTGCCTGATCCACCGCGTGCAATACGAGGTGCAATCAAAACCGTAGTTATGGACAGGTACAGAAGCAATGCCCGCTAGGACATATAGGCAAGCATTATCTCAAGAAAGACCTATCCGATCAGGCCGTCCATCTGATCTGAAAATTGCTCCCGAAAGCGTAGGAAAAACGACACTGTCGCCACATTTAATGATTTATGCTTGCACCTCTATTCAGTACTGCTGTTTTACCAAGTGAAGTCTTAGGAGATGCCGGTTGGAAAGCTGGGCACTAGTGAGCAACGTACATCTTTATCATTTGATCCTGTCCAACGCTAGCATATGATTCGAGTAGCTGGAGTAACAAGAGCCGATGAAGTGGTTGCACAATCTTACGATCACGATAGACAGAGAAGGGGATGGAGCAGCATTTCCAATTTCCCATGGTCATCTTTGACACTTGTTTGCAAAAAAAGGGGTAGCAAGATCCAACATCAAGGCTCAGAGCTGGCGTATAGTGTCACATTGTACATTAAACCTGTGGATACAATCCACAGTATAATGACTCCTCTCTTTCAGGCCATCTAGTTCTCTGCTCCTACACGTTTCGTCTGCTTTCTCCTTCAAGTCCACCTCATTTTCCGCACTCGAAGAGATATTTTCCTCGCCACCTTTGATGGTATCAAACAAGACTGCGACACGTCTAGTGGACTTCCAAGAGGTTGAGAGTGCTTCAGCGCAGACTATAAGCGACGCAGCATCTGACCTTAAGCGTCGAGAACACCCTGCAGGTCCACGATCTGGCGTGCAAGTGCTGAGACAGAAGGGTCCCGCAGAAATAAAAACATAAGTGCAATAAATTTCTTAAGTGAGCGTCTCAGCGTGTGCAAACCAGAGTGTGCTGAATTCGCGACCAAGCACAAAAAAGGAAGTACGATAAGCAGGGTCCCAAATACTAACAGCTGGACGGTCAAGAGACGTTCAAGAAACGAACGAGGATTAAGGATTCCATATCAACAGGACGTGATTGCTGCTAAACCGGACAAAGTTGCAAATAATGACTCACTACTCCATGTAATTTAAGTGCAGAAAGTATACTGACGAGGACAAACCTGTTTTGCAGAAAGGGAAAAATTAGTAAATATATAAGGAAACGCAGATACAACCTCACCATAATCCGAGTTGAGCATCAGCGCGTATCCAATGCGAAGCCAATAATATTTTTAACTTCGTAACAGCGAGGAATTTATCAAAAACCGGTTGATATGGAACAAAGTGGACAGTTGAGAAATCGAACTTACAGAGAACTGGCTTGGTCCACCGTCTGCATCTATAAATGTCTGAGGGACCGGATCTTATGTACCTCTCTATGTAGTAATGAGAATAGGGATCGAGAATAGGGATCAGTTCTTTGAGCGCAATTAGGCCACCGGGCATAAATCAACAATCAATTGACCCACAGTATAGTGTTAAAAATGATTAGGAACATGATGAGAAAGAATCCAAGTACAAGGTGAGCGCGCGCTGAGGCTACCGGATGAAAATGTACAGGTACATGACCTTTATTGTTCTTAATTTTGGTTCGGAAAGCCAAGAAAACTCGAAGGAGACAGAAAGTACGAAGAATGGAAAAAGAACATAACAGAGTTGTCGATGCCCGGGAAGAGCTCAAGCCAGAAAGTTAACTTTCCGGAAGAACGCTCAACCAGTCATATACAGCACTTATTGCATAAATTACAGAGTATCCATCTTCGGAATATGCTCCAGCTGACACTTCGGGCATTCACTCTTGCAATATACTCAATAGTAAAACAAGCACAACAAGCAAGCTTTCGATCCCTTTAAGCACCTTCGGCCCCAAGCAGAAAAGCAGATAGAAGCGAAACGAGACACTACGGCTCATCACACGAAATGTCAGAGTGGTCTTACAAACAGTAACCAGAGCAGTGAGAGCACTCAATACTATTAGCAAGATGGAAACCGCGTGCAGTAAGTAGGAAGCAGTCAAAGCCGATGGACATTTGAACAACTCTAAATCGGGCATCAGACATTTTCGTGATAGACATGGTGTTCACACTGCAGTGCTTCGTACCGTGCAGAGAACGTTTCCATGGAAGGTGGTTGGAAGAGAGACCAGGAGCGTTGAATGCTGCTGTGACTAAAGTTCATGCTACTCGCCACTGCCATCGTTTCTGTGGAAGAGTAGACGAGAAGAAGGAAACATGAGGAAGACCTCTGAAGTTGTACATGTGCATGTCTGCAGGGGTGTGCTAAGCACGTGACAGGAGGTCGTTTTCAACATCAGCATTTCATTGGGCAGTCCCCTGTACTCTCACTGAGTCTCAGTCTCACGAAATGCTCCTTCTAAGGCTCTAAGTTAGTCTAAGGTTGTGCAATGCAATGAACCCGTTTGTCAGCCAAGAGATGACCAATGTCCCTGCCAGTCACAAGCTAACCACGCCGTGCACGTATCTGCTTAATCAGTTTATCATCTGCCTTCACTCAAGTTGTCCAGCGTGAGGGCACGGAGATGAATAAAACGCGTTCCCGTATACCCTCCATGGCTACGCTGCAGACAGCTACGATCAATGATGCTGGAACGCAATTCGCGTATTTGGATTCTGGTGCCCCGCCAGGTGACACGTATATTACATTGGTCATAATTCATGGGCACACATACCACGCTCGTAAGCCCACCAACGCAATACCCCTCTAGATGTTACTGACTAATTGACATTTATTAGAGAACTTCTCTAGGCTCTTACCCATTGCAAAGGATCATAACCTCCGCATCATAGCTCTGAATAGACGTGATTATGTCGGATCTACACCCTTTTCATCTGCTGAATTGGAGGCTCTTAATAACAGTGACGTTGAAGCACAAGTGGCGTTTCTGAAAGCTCGAGGACTTGAAATTGCCCGGTTTCTTGTTTGGGTGATTACAGAGAAGAAGATTCCGACAGCAAGTGCAGATGGCAAGGAGGGCGGTCTTGCAGTTTTGGGTTGGTCCATGGGAAATTTGACGACTATGGCATTCATGCGGCATCTGAATGCATACCCAAGGGATCTCGTAGAATCTATTCGGCCTTACCTACGAGCACTTTACATCTATGGTGAGTAGGGATGATAGAGAGTGGTCGAAACCCTCAGTAAGCATTTACATTATTTTAGAGAACGGAGCCACTACAATGGGCTATCCGTCTGCCGAGGGAGGATATCACCCACTCTACGATAAATCCGAGTCGATCCCAGCTCGCATGCGGGGTATCGTTTTTGGCACATGGGTCTCATCATACTATAGGCACCCATACTTCTCCTCGGTGGACAAAAACGATCGTAACATATCCTTACTGATACTTCGTGCACCTGAAGGGGATCAATTATATCGTCCTTGCACGCTAGATACACTATCTGCCATAGAGCTCACAACTTGCGTCGATCCGGCGGCAGCAGCTCATTCGGAACCTATCATCATTTCCAATATCACTCGCCCTGTCTTATACGACCAGACACAAGATATTTTACTTCTTGATTACCAATCTCCAAATACAAAGAAAAACGAGAATTCAGGAATACAGGAAGGCAGCGCGAGCGCTCTTCTACCTGACGTCAAGATATGCATTGTGTATTGTGATGCTTCTGTCTGGTCTTGCGTTCGGACTATCTGGGAATTGGAGAAGGATTATGAGAGATGGGAGAAGGAGGGCCGGAAAATTCGTGAACATAAGTTCCTTCACGTAAGGGAGGCCAATCACTTCGTAAGCTATCTAAGTAAATTTGCCTCTCGAGCGTTCTAATGCAAGCGCTTCATCGCTAGCTTCATTGGGAAGACCCAGAGATGTTCCTCAAGGTGGTTGAAGATGGTCTCAGGTCTTGAGCGTCGACCGCTGAAGCCTGATTCATTCTGCACAAATAATTCGTGTATGTGTGTAATAATTGGAGAGATGATATCCAAGATATCGTTGGGCCTCCCGTCCACGTCTGGTTGCTCTACGGGCATTAGCGTTGCGACTCGCTTCTCGCTAATATTGCTCGATTCTGGTGTTCAGATAACATTGCACCTTCGGTCACGTTTCCGCCTGCCATCAGATCTTATTATCGACGTGCTGATTCTGCTGAAGATTCTAAGTAGGGACAAACGGCGTTAAGCAAACCACATCATGCAAAGAAATTGTCGGCAAACTGATCTCATGGATGATACTACAAGTTCAGGGAGGGCACTCTCGCAATGTGGCGAGCCCAGATACACGCCATTCCGTTTAAGTTTTGATGTATTAAGAATCTGATACCCTATTGACTTGACGCAGAAGCACTAGATAAGCAAGAGCATAGTGCCACAAACTTTGCACATCGTCACTTTGCAGAATGCGAATTCGTTTAAACCTTGCACCGTCACTAGTTGAGCTTGACGTAACTTTTACCTCTTCCACTTCAACGGCACAGGATCAACCCACATAACGGTAGCTTCGTGTTCTTCCGCATAATTTGGAAAATGTCAGAGACACCGAAACCACACTGGCTGGTAGGAATGAAACCGTTGTTTCGAAATGACCCAGATGGCCCGAGGTTCCACGATAACTGGTCTTGGGACAAAGATAAAGGCAAAAGAACGCCACGAAAATTTTGGCTAACTCGCTGCCTAGAAAAAGGGTCATTTGGCGAGGTATGGGTATGTAGTGCTTTTCACCTCTTACGGACAAGTCAATGCAACTCAATAAACACCATCAACGATTAGGTGTTGCAGCGAAATGACCTTAGGCGAGATAAACCAGTAGAGTTTGCCGCTAAAGTCGTCAGAAAACATGCCGGCCATGACGGCGTACCAAGATCGCCGGGGACAAAAGCAGACGTGACGACATCGGTGTTCATGGAGGCGAAGATATTGGCAAGACTGAGGCACAAGCACATCGTACGCTGAGAATCGGTTTATGATAAGCCTGACAGCTGAATAGTGCTTTGAAGGTTATGTGCTATGGAGCTTTCGAGAACGATGATTCTTGGCTAATCGTTCTTGAATATGCTGAAGGAGGCGATATCTTTCATCGATTGCAAGATATGGGGATGTTCTCCGAAGCAATTGCAGCTCATTATGTAAGGTGAGGTTCTTGTTCCGTACCTTCCGAGAATACACTGCAAAACCAAATCCGATCTTGCAGGCAGATGGTCGATGCAATAGCATACCTTCATTCAAACAATATAATTCACAGAGACATAAAGTAAGCAGCCAGTCTAGAAGTAATATACGATTTATGATAATCTGGTGCCCTTTTTTAGGATTGAAAATTTCCTCATTAAAAGTCCATGGAGCTACTCTACAACTTATAAAAAAGACAATCTCCTGCTCTGTGATTTTGGATAGTGAGCACGACTTCCTCCATTCCTAACGACGTATGCGACAACTCCTCGAAGTGCTGTCTATAGTGAAAGTGGATGGACATGGGGTGCGTGTGGAACGCCAGAGTATGCTGCCCCAGAAGTTTATGAAGGGTATGGACTGCCTAGTTCTGAATACTATACTAAAACGGTAGACATTTGGTCGCTCGGGTACGCGCGTATCTTATCTCAATCTAAGTAATACAACTGACCTTTCTTAGAGAAACAGCATACAAGATTCTAACTGGGTCGCATTTAATTTATGCCTGCGCAGAGATGTGCTTTGACACTGAAAACCGAGACTGGGAGAGGGCCGTCACTAATGGCGATATTGCAGACATACTGGAAGAGACGGATATAAGTGAAAAAGGTGAGCCACTGTAAACAGATACTATACTATAAGACGCTTACAATGCGATGTACGAATGTAAAGGGCAAGAGTTTCTGCGTTTCTGTCTAAATGTTGATCCGGATAGGCTGCCTGCAAAGGAGCTTCTAAACCATAAGGTCTGACCTAGGCCTGTGTACATTTACAAACTTATAAACTTATAATTATTCCGATATTTCTTAGTGGCTTAGTAGCTGCAATGATAAATATCTGGACCACGAAGCAATGAAAAAATGGAAGGCAGATTTGATAGCTATTAGAGGACACAATGTATTCGCTGGGAAGTTACGAAAAATGCGAGCTGCCAGTGCGAAAGGCAAAGTTAATACATCGTCCAGTACGTCTCATAAAGGAGCAACAGATCAGAAGCAGTACCAGCTCCCGCTACGAGACAAACATACAGGGACGAAAACAAGTCAGAGTAGAGGCGGAAAGAAACGACACAGTGGGAAACCGAGTGGGACAAGATTTGAAAAATGACTAGAGTCCGTGACTACTAGGCTCGAGTAGATATCTTATTGTTTAAAATTCCATTATTTTATGTATAATTATTAGCAAATACTATGTGAATACCCGAATATTTTATCTTGCAGAACAGAGAACTCCTATAAGTATCCCTGCTGCTCTGATCTGTAGATATAAAAAATAAGCCAACAAACGCCTCTTGAAGAACCAACAAATGGTGCCGCAATGTCCAGGTACAGATAATCCACTGACTCGTTCTAGTATACAGACAATATGCAAACTTCTGTTGAGACAGCTTTGTACTAATATTTGTTACTATTACAGTTCAATGGAATCAAGTTGCTTAATCAAGGATATGCAAAGTCTGCAGAACTATATAGTTATTACAGGCTCAGCTTTTCCACTTTGCAATACATCCTTACCTAGCTCAGCATAAAATCGCATTCAGCATGAATCTTAATGCTTTCCCTCTGCTTTCACCCGAATTGCCTTGTGTTAAGTCAACCAGTGTCTTCTATACTGCCTCAAATTCAGGACAATGCATCCACAATACTCCCCACAGTATCAGAACAGGACTGACTTTACACTGCCTACATTAGAAAACTTGGTACCTATGTTCCAGACCTATGCAGACGGCCCGAGATTCCATGCTAACTGGTCATGGGCGAAAACTAGTGGAGGGGATAAAGTACCGCGACAACTGAAAATTGTAGATAAGTTAGGACAAGGGTATTTCTCCAGAGTTGTGGTATGTCACAAGCCTTCCACTCATTTCACAAAAAGGTAATATTTACTCAAGAAAACAAAATATCTGAATAGATTATTGAACGAGATGATCTCCGAGAAGACAAGCCAGTGAAGTTTGCTGCCAAAGTAATCGGGAAAAAGGAGGATCCTATGGGATATAAGTGGCCACAAGTGGTAGCAAAAGACGCAGAGGAGTTTACAATTAATGAGGCAAGGCTATTAATAAAACTGAGGCACAAGAATGTGGTGCGTCGAGAACTTCATATATAATAGCATATAAACTGAATAGTATCTGGAGATAATGTGCTATGGTGCATTCGAGAATGATGATTTGTGGGTCATTGTTCTTGAATATGCTCAAGGAAAAGAACTCTACGATCGAATCCATAGTATTGCTAATTTGACTGAAAAGGTTCTTGTGCATTACATTAGGTAAGATTTTTCGTTGGAAAGATATAGGTCGATTTGCGGAGCTAAATATGTTTTCTAGACAGATGGTCGATGCAATATCTTATCTTCATTCACAATATATAATACATCGAGATATAAAGTAAGCAGTAGATCGTTTACGGGTGACTGTTGTCTCGGTATTTCATGGTTTGTTTCTTTAGGCCGGAAAACTTCCTCATAAAAAACAGATATGACTCCTCGACTCCTTGGTATAAAGACAGAATAATACTGAGCGACTTTGGATTGTACGTGGAGTCGTATTTGTCATTTGAGGACTAGTTAATGACTTCCTCAAGTGCTATTTGTACTCCGACTTTGAAAGCAGAGAGACGATGTGGAAGTCCAATGTTTGCTGCGCCAGAACTGTTCAAGCTAAATTATGGTGATCAATACACGGAAAGGATAGATATATGGTCACTCGGGTAGGTACATTACCTAAACTGTTTTGAGATAGTATTGATTCATCCTTACACAGAGTGACAACATATGAGATCCTGACTGCCCACAATGTTTATCGCAGAATCCCTGAAAAAGTGATTCCTCCTAAGTCTAAGAACATTGAGCGTGATGTAGCAATGTCCATAACCAATGAACACATCAAGAAATACATTATTGAGAGCGAATATGTTATGCTATCTAAAAATGGTGAGTTATGACATGATTGTATCAGCTGTACCAGCAACTTTGGATAACTATTAATATTCAAATATAAGGACAGGAATTCTTAAGGCAATGTTTAGATGTAAATCCTGGGACTAGAAAGTCGGCAAAAGAGCTTCAGGAAAAGAGTAAAGTTAGAATAGAATTTTACAAATTCACTCATATGTTTATATACTAATATATTCTACATATATTCTACAGTGGCTGAAGGATTGTGATGATACATACTGGAACTTTAATGCAAACAAGGCATGGAAGAGAGAGTTAATAGCAGTCAGGGCATTGAATGAAACCATTGGATCAAAATATAAAAAACATGACAAACAGGATAAGACAAGTAAATCAAATACTTATTCTCACTATAGAGATACAGATAGGAAAATGCATGACTCCTCACTTAAAAGCAAACCTACAGAAGTTAACAATAAACATAATGGTAGTGAAAGAACTACAAATGACCAAAAATCCAGACAATAGTGTAATAAACAGAAATAAATACTAGTAAAGGATAAGGTCATTATAATTTTGTACATTCTTTAGTATCTTATATATAAGTCAGCAATAGAGTTACTATAAGTCCTTACAAGTAAATTAAAGTGTAGAGACTGTATACACTTCTATGTATCTTCTATGTGTCTTGACTGGTCAGATTCAATATCTGAGTTTAAGTATTAATAGTACTGTCTAGTAATTACAGTCATATATTATAGATAAAGTACTATACTATCCAGTACTGATCTGTTAGGCTTCTAGATAACAGTAATGTAGAATAGACAAGTATAAAAGCTTGTAAGTAGAATCATTAGATGCAAATATAAAAAAATATTATCTCTTACATATTATTTATCTACTTATACACTATTATTTTGTTCTCACATATTTTGTTTTAAGTATTTGTTAAACATGTGCTAGACTACAAAAGTGTCATACATTACACTTTCGTGCAGGGTCTGATAATGCAATATATTCACATGCGGACTTTATAATTGAATACAAGGACCTGATATTTGCTACAATATGCAAAAAAAAAAAATGTGTTAGCAATAAATTCCAATACATTTGTGTTTTTTTTTGTTGTGATGCACTACTTGATATAGTGCATGGCTTGTGACGGATTATTGGTTTCTGAATTGAAATAGGACTACTAAAAATTGGAGAATAGAAGACGAGAAATATGCCCCATTGGTTTTATAACGGTTGATAAAACTTATCATGTCATGAGTCATGATACTTGTCAAAAAACCATAGTGCTACTCAATTGGTAGCCTCAATGAGATGATCCGTAATTGCTTCTGGGGATTGTAGTGAACAGCATCGGAAATCAGTTGCGAAACGTCATCAACATTCTAATGTCAGAATTCCGAAAACATAATAAGTTGCAACATGATTACATTTGGTAAAGTACATGATTAGTAATGACCGATAAGTTTTGATCCGGTGATGAGAACAGCATATGAACATGCGAAGTAAAGAGCATGGTTGACAGCGTGAAAGCAGTCGAAAGGAAGTGAAAGCAATTGATAGATGAAATAAGTCCTTAGGCAGACTCGCCAGAGTCCGTCTTCCCGAGTAAGTTCCTGGAAGTCGAAGATGACGCCCTAGAGACACACATCTGTTGTTAGATATTACAACGTAGAAGTGGCATGTGCATTACCTATCAGCCTTCTCGTTCTCTTCAGTCAGAACATCGGCCGTGTGAGTGTGGGGAGCCGTCAAAGGCATGCCTTCCCGATCGGTGCCATTGACATGCTCCGGAGCGAAGAACTTAAATCTCATGAGCCTTGCGAAAGTGAACAACGGCCCCACGATCAAAATCATCGCGGAGATCTGTCCAAATGTCCATGAATTCTCGTTTGCCTCCGAAGCGCCGGTGACGTTGCGTATAAGCAAGCTCTCAACGGACCAGATGCTATATGCCAGCATAGCTAGGTTGAAAATCGTGACGAGTACAAGAGATTGCGCAGTTGAAGGCAAATAAACAACGAATTTTCGCGTGAAGCCTAGATGACGATGTGCTCGGCGGTGCACGGATGGGATAGCACGGACAAGGGCGGCGGTGGCGGCCACTAGGAACAAGAAGCCCAAGATAGAGACTAAGTACAGATGAAGACGCCTGAGCTAAAGAAAAAGTCCACCAAAGGAGTGATGTAAATACTTACATAAGACGAGAACAAGTATCCGAATCCAGCCTAAGGGGCTGATTGATTTTCCAAAGACAACGAATTGCATGCCTCTATTCATTTCTGGACACTGACCGAAAGTAGGCGCAGTCGCCCAGACCCAAAGACCAAAGCTATTTCAGCGTGTTAACTTCACTATTTTGCTATGAAGATATTTTATCGCACCCAACGAAAAGAAATCCATGTATATGCGTTGCAATCAATATTTCGGGTGGCATAATGTCTAGCTTCCAGTGCCAGAAGATATACACCCAAGACATACCAAAGACCGGGAAAGCAAGAAGAGTAATGACAAGAGCATGAAAGAGAGTGAGATCATCCCGCTGCGCGACGGCGGCAAATTGAAGACCAAGGGAGGTGACCAGCACTGTCCACCAGGCATCAAAGGAGCTTGCTTCGGGTGTCAAAGCGATCGTGAAGATGGTAAGGAAGACCTGAGCATAAGTGGCCACTCGGGTGCCAATGCCTTCGATCTCTGCGCGTGGTGGAAGAATTCCGTCGCTGCAAGGCGAGACCATTGTTGTACTCAGTCCAGTGGGAGATGGAGAGGGTGGTTAGGGAAAAAGCGTGAGCAGTACATGATGATCCTCTCGCAGTAGTCATTGTAATAGTCTGAAGTGCTCCTCGACCAGACTGAACCTGGACGCGTTAGAGAGTCTAGAGAGGCAAGACATACAAGCGTGTCTGAGATGTGTTTGGGCACCCGTTTTTGGAAAGGATTAGCATTGCCTTATACAGTAATCACGGACCAGACTGTTATCTCGCTCGCACATACTTTATCATCTTGTACGAAATACATTCAGTACAGTAGAAACTTCTATTGACCTTTTTACATTGAATTTGGTGCTTTCTCACAGCTTAATTTATCAGGAAAAAACTGTACCATTGAAATGAGTAATGCTGCAAGGCATAGCTTTTGATTGACACATAGATGAAGAGTTATGATGTAACTTTTGCTCTTGGTGGAACCGAGCACGTCGTGAGTCAAAAAAACATCTTTCCTACTGTCAGATTACAAACGAATAATCAATATTATGTCACTGGCACCCCGGTCAGAATGATCCGAAATCACTTCCTGTTGAGAGGGAGAACTTAAAGGGGGCACGCATAGACAAGGGGTGAGGTGACGATTGACTGCTCAGTGTCTCTCGTCCTTATATTGTATGTATTCTAACTGAGACATTATGAAGTCATCATCTCGTGGTTCGTCTGTTGATGAACTAATCATCTCATAATACTCCCCTTCAAACTCTTACTAGTCTGAGTAAACTGGTAAGATGTTTGACTTGTGGTACATGTAGTGCTTTAGTTAATATATCTGCTTGTTGATTGTTCGTCTGTATGTATTTCGCATTTATGTACTCTAACTCAATGTAGCATTTAATAAAATCTTTCTTATGATCTAAATGCTTTGTTCGTTCCGAATATTTGAGTTTGTCTAATGTAACTGTTTGTATAACAGTATTGTTATCACAATAGATATTAATTAGTGTATCAGAGACCTGCAGAATCTCTTTAGCTAAATGAGTAAGTGCAATTGCTTCCTGTGTTCCTCTTGCAAGAGCTATTAATTCAGCTTCATACATCAAATTTGCCACCAGTGTTTGTCTTTTACTTAACCACGAAACTAATGAATTGCTCAAGTAAAATGTATATCCTGATATTG